TCCTCGTACACTTTAGACTCTAACTGTCTGTTTAATCACTATGATACTCTAGTTTAGTTTACTATCCCCAGATACAACCTAGAAGAAGGCTGGTCTGAGTCATTTGATTCACCTCCAAAGGTAGGAAAAAAATCATTGATCCTTTTTCACCTCCAAAAATTGGCACTGAAATGAAAGCTTGCTATCAGTTTATAAGCCAACAGCCTCCCTGCTACTTTGCTATTTTTGTCTAAAGGACTGTCAGGTTCTTGGTATTCAAGGCACAGTTCAATACCTGGGGTGTTGCTCCATCATTTGTTTACTCCATTACACCTACCTCTTTTAATATGTCCATCAGTAGGTATATTTCTCAGGGTTGAATGTTGGTCATACAAGTTGACAGGTAAGATTGGTTTAAAATGTTTTTAAAGAAATAAATGGCAGTCAGCTAAAGATCTAGTTGACGTGATGTGATGCTCATTTAGCCAGAACATGCTGGTATGAATGCCAACCTATATGCAAGGCGTATTCCTGTAGAGAACTACCAGGTGGCTTGAAATGCCACTGAAAAACTTGTGCTGGCCCATTTTACTTTATGTGCCGACTAAGAGAGGAGAGAAAACAGAGAAATTTCATTCTTGCTGTTGGTTTTTCACACACTGGTAATGACACGATGAGGAGACTTGAAAGCTTACGGTGGCTGGCCTTGAACCTCCCTGACCATTCTTTCATCATTTTTGCCTCAGGCCCCCCAGGTCCTCCTGCCCCTGATGACAGTCCCACAGGCTTCTTTCGTCAGCAGGCTGGTAGGCCCGAGCCCCACACTCTCCCTGGGCAATCAGGAACCCCCCCAGTGTCAATCTCTCCTCCCAATTTTAGACGCACTCTCCTTTGGCTCCCTGAACACTTCCACCCCCGTGTCCAGTGCGGACTCCAGACGTAACATGTTCAGAATCAAATTCATGGCCTTCTTGCCTTACGTACTGCCTCCTGGGTTTTCCATTCAGCTGGAAACACCCCATCCAACCCCAGGAGGAAGCTATCCTAGTTCATGTTCATCAGTCACTGAGTCCTCAAGCGTTTATCTCCTAAAGACTCTTCAGTGACTCCCCTCCTCTGCCCTCCCAACCCCACTGTCCCAGGCCAGGCCCTCCATGTCATTCACCTAGTCTACACCTCAAAACCCGGCATGCACCACAGCCAGTGACGCTTCTGAAAGGTAAATCTGACCAGGACCTTCCCTACTGAAGAAATCCTTCAATGGCTCCCTGTGCTCATGATCAAGAACAAAATCCTTACCTTGACTTTTCAGGCCCTCTATAAGCTTGTCTTTGCCCCTTCCGCAGGATCTCTGAACGGGCAATTAAGGGACATGGCCGGTTCGAGGAAGATCCCAGGCCAGAGCCCAGCTATCTTATCTTTCTGGCTTGCATTAGTGTCACAAAAACCATTATCTTTCTTGTTCTTTTTCTATCCTATATTTCCTATTTGTTGGTCAATGCATGGAAATAGGAAAATAAAGTGACTAGGGAAAAAAAAATGAAGCCTGTCTGGTTGAGGTGATTCCACATGTGGGATGAAGCTTGGCTAACACAAGCTCCTCTCCAGGTGGGGCTCTATTAATTACCTGATGGCGAGGACGCATGTGTATCAATCAATGGGCACTACACTCTGCCAACCCCATCCCTCCTTGCACACGTCAACACAGGCTTGGTAGCAGGTACTACAAGTTTAACGTGTGGAAAACAAAACAAGAAGACAGTGACCTCATTCCCTGACTTCCCTGGGGAGCCTGTCTGGAGTGTAGAGGTGCACCCACCCTAAGTCCTATCTCATGCTGGCCTATAACCTTGCCCTTGGTTTCTGTGTTGACCACAGAGTTAGGAACTCCTCTAAAGAGCTACAGCCTTCATTTTATCTATGGCTTTGAAATCACAGAGGGCCCTACCAAACAAGTTAGCATCTGATGGTTTCCTCTCCTGATGCCCAAAACTGGGATATCTGGAAACCTTTGGAAGCGACTAGCTGTTCACTTTGTATGCAGGCATTTGGCATTGTGAAGGTACATCCCGAAGGACAGGGATGTCTCCCTTCTCTCTGTGTCCTTGTTTTCTTGCACAGGGGCTAGCAGAGGAAATGTCTGTGTCTGCTCCAGAAGGGACCTTAGGAACAACAACAAAAAACCTAGGCCATATCACATGAGGTGAAACATAGCTGACCCTCCAAATTTTTCAAGATTTGGCTTCCCAGCTCTTCTCTAAATAGAGATTCTGTTCTTACTGCTTATGTCGATCTTTGAGATCCACTTGAGCCTTCATAGGCTGTGGGATGATCTGGGCTTGCCACCCTGCTATCCTCTCTCAACCCATCAATCGCCCCAGCACACTGTTCCTCCGGAACCGCAGCCGCTGTTTGAGTAATCTACCAACAACCCCAGAATACAGGGGCAATTTTCATTTCCCACCAGCTCAGGCTGGATCCCTACCTGTTGACGTAAGCCTGGCCTGGCCTGTAGAGTCCTGGACCTTCACCCTGTCTTCAACACTGAACACAGGCTGACCAAGACAGGGTCTGGGCGGGGGCACTTTACCCTGGTTATAACTGCACAGCACCAAGCATCTGGAACATCATGAAAAAAAGAGACAGCTATCCAGCTGTTTCTAAACATCCAGATGTCTGGCACGGGGAAGAGGGAACATCCTGGCACCTGCCCCACCAACCAGGGTGCGCTCTCCAAGCAGAAAGGCAGCAGGACCCAGGGCCTGGCTGCCCAGTGCCCCGTGTTGGCTGTGGAGACAGAACCCTGTGGTGCGCCTTATTTGTGCAGGATGAAATCTGGCCTGAAGACTATGGACCTAAAGCCTGTCCTTCTGGAGCTTTCCTTTAGAAGAGAAGCATGGGGGGGGGCGAGTGAAGGGGGAAACAGCACTCTGTTAATAAATAACCCCACCCACACCAGATACAACAGCCTCATACTTGTAGGTGTCAAAAGTGTGGCCACGTCAAGATTTCCCTCTCAGCTTTCAGTTCCCAGAGAACACGATTTAACCAAAACCACATTAAAAAGCTCAGTGTCTTCTGGTTCTAATTCAGTTTACCCAGACAATTTTCTTCTTTTTCTTGCAAGAGAGCATTTGGATCCCCACCTGATCATCCCTGAAAACATTCATTCAGCACATATTTATTAAGTGCTTACGTTGCTGGGCATCGTCAGCAGAAGAGTACCTACCTTGAATGAACATAATGACAGTAAGACTGAGAAATAATTATATTAATGATAATGATAATAATAATTACTAATATATATTGACCCTTTAGGGGCCTCATTGAAAAATCTATCTGTATTTTTAATTTAATTTATCAAACCACCCTAAAAATAAACACAATGATTATCTCACTGGGCGCTCAGAGAGGTTAACTGACCCGGAGCCACACAGCTGATGGATAGTGGAGCCCAAATTCGAATCTGGCCTACCTGACTTTGGAGATGCTATATTTATCTGCCGTATGATAGCCTCCCACACCTGCACAGTACACGTGGCAGAGAGGACCCTGGGTCTGTACAGCGACTTCACAATTCCAGGGAGCACCGTGCATAGTATTCCCTGAGATCGGCATCTGTGGGAGCGCAGCCCCATAGCACACGAGGAAAAGGAGGCCCCCTCGTGTCGTAGACAAAGCGACCCTGTCATCTTAGAAGTACCAGAAGTACAGGAGGAAAAAATCCCATACAGGGATGGCCATATAGGTCTCTGGATCACTGGCAGTGGCTTATATGGAGGCTGGCATCCAGGAGGTACTCTGACATTTTTGCTGCTTGCCTGATTAAATGAAACCGTTTTATAAGCTAAATAAAGAAGGATGATTCCGGGACTGGGAGAAGATGAACTCAGAGTCTGTCATGGTTAGCAGGCTGGGGCGGGGTCGGGCAGGAGAGTCCTCGCTGCAGGGGGGCCATCCAGGGGATGTGAGCGGTGACAGTGGGAAGGGGGCGTGTGCAGAGCTGGCCCTGAGATGGCTCCCAGTAGGAAGAGGCAGGCCCGAGTCTGCAGCAGCAGTGAAAACTGCTTCCAGGGTAAACTCTACTTGCTGGGGATGGATGTTGCCAACTGCTGCCATAATACGGGGGGCTGGGTTTCTTTTGGCAGTCCCACTGTGGGGCGGTCCATTTGAGCCTAAGAGAGTCTGCTCACTGGGGGAAGGAGGAGGTGCCTGTCTCTGCGGCTCACTGGCTCTAAGTGCCTTGTCCTCTCATCTGGAAGTCCTCAGCATCTGTCCCAGAGGGCTCTGCAGCATCCCCAGGGCACACTGAGGGCCTGGCATGGGGCTGGGTGGAGACCAAATCTCCCAGGTCCTTAGGCTGGATGTGGTCCAGGGCCATCTGGCTGCAAAGCCAGGCTCTTTTGCACTCTGAACACTGAATTCAGAGCCATGACACCTTGAATCCTGTTGTAGCTCTAAGCTGCAGTGGGGTTTGACCTTGGGAAAGTTAGTGCAGCCTCAGGGTTCCCATTAGGAAGAAGATCATGACAGCTAGATGTTTACTAAGCTATTTTCTTCTCCCTAAAGGGACCCTGCGCGTGTCCAGCCAGCGGTAGACCGGCAAAGAGAAGGAAAGGAGCTCTGGGTTAACCAGCACACTTCTCAGCCGGCCCCTCTCGCTCCACGTCCCAGGAACAGGTGGGTCTAGATTCTGGTCTGTGACAAAGAGAGGATGCGTTCACTATCTCCCCAAGCCTGCATCCGTGGCCTGCAGCCTGCCTGACAAAGCATCCTGCCTTTTTCGCTCTGTGGTAACTTGCCCTTGAAGCCTGACCGGCTGGAGCCCAGTTCATGGTTTTTTGAAAGCTGTTACCCCAAAAAAAGCAATGTTGACTTAGGTGTAGAGATAACTATCTCTGTGCTGTCACACCACACAGGGAGGGAGGGTGGCGATAATACCACCTTCTTCCTCGATAACAATACCTTACGGAAGCCAGAGAAACCTGGGCATTGAGAATAAAAACATTCACTGCACTTACCAAGTGCTGAGTGACTCTCCGATAGCATTTTCAAGCAGAGACCTGCAGGAAACAACTTTTTCTTGTTTTCTCCCCGTGCCACCAAGCAGCTGACCCCGTCTGCGGACAGAACACTGGCCCAGAGACTCCAAACATCCTGCGGCGGTTGTGAACGCTCTCAGGGGCCTCAGGCATCACAAGATGCCCTCACAGACCTCTCGGGTTCTGAAACCCTGAGGAATCTAGGGCTGAGTGATTCTGTGCTACTAGAGAGAAAGAAAGAGGAAGCAAAGCCACAAGCTGGATGGTTCTGTGGCAGCCACCACCACCATCCACCAGCAGGTCACCTGGTAGTGCCTACTGGCCATGGGCTCGCTCTCTCCCTTCCCGTTGCTCTTTCTTGCTCTCCCTCCCTCCTGCTCATTCTTTCCTGGGACTTGTACTGCTTCTGGAGAAGGAGGCACCTGCCCTGGCTTCTTCCATTACAAAGAAAAGCAAGATTAAAAATACCATTGAGAAATACCCCACTGTTATTCTGGAAGTTAGAAAAGAGGTCAAAGAACCGGGTTTTTCTGTCCCTTTGGGAGGGATTCTTCCCTCAGAAAGGGGGTGGGTTGGAAATGATAGAATCCGAATTCCAAAGCCAGGAGTTGATATGGTGGGACTAATGTCCCCCCCCTCCCCCGTTTTGTCAGTCATTTCATCCCTTATTCTCCACTCTCCAACACTCTGCTACCCTATTTTCTATTTCCTCTTTCCTTTGGTCATTACTGCTTCTGTTCATTTTTCCTTACGAGAAAAGTAGAAACTACACGCTCTGTCAGGTACAAAACCATCTCGAATCCTCTGTGGACAAAGCAGGATACAAACATATGAACCCATCAGTGTGCCAACGAAAACAGTTTCGGGGCCTGGGTCAACAGTTGCTACCCAGCCCTGCGGACAGAGAACAGCTCGTACCCCAGTGTCCCATCTTTGTGGCATCCTCCTTCATCTTCCTCTACCGCCTCAGCCCAGGGCCTGTGCTCCTCAGCCATCTTCCTTTTTAAAGTTCTTGATTCTGTTTTTCCATTCCATTCCCTCCGCTACTTCCCTGGGCCCTCATCCATTCCACTTGGACACTCGCAGAGCCTGCTCGCCAGCATTCCTTCTTTCTTCCGATGCACCCCCAAACTGGTGACAGGTGGAGATTTCCCCAACACCAATTTCTTTCATGCCATTCCCGGTTGGAGTACCCGTTCAATGGCTGCCCACAGGACAAAGTCCAAATTCCTGGCCTTGGCAGACAGAAACCTCTACATTCTGGCCCTAACTTACTTTTCTAGACATTAATAATACTAGATTTTTTTTTTTAAGCTGCCATTTAGGAGGCACTTACTACATGTCAGGCAGAGTGCTGAGCACTTTATCTGAGTTTGTTCTGAGGGACGGACGACATCCTATTACTTGCCCTTCTCAGATGAGGAAATGATGCCCGAGGCCCGCAGAGATGAAGTGAGCACGAAAAGTTGCCCCGGGAGGCAGCAGACTCAGCCCTTGAACCCAGGTCCTTATGACCTCAAAACGGGTGCTCATGACCACCTGTCTCCATTGTCCCCTGCCGCCTGACTGGGTGCCCTATGCTGTGGCCAGGCCGTCCGGGGCTCCACCTTCCACCTCAGCCCTGGGCTGCCGTGGGCCACCCCCTCCGAGTCCCCACAGAGGACCTGGTGCGGAGGAGCCCTAAGGAGCCCTCAGTGCAGATTCGCTGAACATTCTCAGCCTTCAGAGTAGAAAACAGGGTGACCGACATGACACGCAGCCTAGAAGGCTCTGAGTGGCCAGGCAGTGGGAACAGGCCACAGCATTTGCTAGGGGAGGGCGGCGGTGGTTTAAGTGGGATGGATTCATCTGAGCTGTAGCTTCTTTGACTGCATAAGCTGCAAACCACCTCCCAGTCACTCCACCTGCTGCTGCTTCGCCCCTGGAGCCCCATTCCCAGGGTGCGGGGCTCCAAACCTCCAAGCCCAAGGACTACTCAGGCAGGACGTTGGGTTCAGACTCCCTCCATCTCTGGATGTTTTGCTGTTAGGAGACAGAGGAAGGGGCATCCTCACTGGGCCTCCGGGTGATTTTTTTTCCCCCTTGTCCAAGGCCCCAAACTCCTAGAGCCCCCTAATTGATTAAGATGAAATACTTCCTGGTCAGACTCTTCCATCACAGAACACTTCTGAGTTCCTAAAAATTAAAGAGGTAAGGCAGAATCAGACAAGACAGGAAGCCACAGAGGCCAGGCCGTCCTTTTACAGATGAGTCCGCCGGGCCCAGGGCAGAAAGTACTTTCATGTAGCCTGAGAGTGACAGAGCCCACGCCAAGACCACACGTTCCAAGTCTCCCAGGCACAGAGCTCTTTCCCTCGCCTGGCAGCCCTGTACTGCCACCACCCAAACCAACAACTGTGCCTCCTGTCCCGATGGGGGTCATGGGTAAGTGTCCACTGGCGTCCCAAGAGCCACATGAGATAGAAAAGCAATTCTTCCCGTGTGCCTTTCAAGGTGTCAGCAGGAGTCAAGGACACTTTGCAGATTCACACCTGACCATGGCGAGCCAGGTATCAGGAGGGTTAAATCACTTGTGAAAGGAACGCCACAGGGTGAGTCAGAACCAGGGAGAGACTCGCAGGCGCGGTCCTGTCTGGCTGGGGAAGGCCAAGGTCTTCGTTTTGGCCAAGTCCCGGAAGGTCTCCTCCTGACTTTCCTGGGGTCTCTGGTGCACTCGATGGGTTTAAATCTTAAGGCTAAAGATCTCAGGACACTAACTGCTAAAAGCACTTAAAGCTAATGATCGCGGGATGCTCTCCCAAGTGCTAAACATCCCAGGACAGTGCACAAAAGTCCTTCTCTGGCTGGGTCAGCCCACCTTTCCACAGCCTCCCCCTTGGATACCTGCTCTGCTCAAGCCACACTAAACATAGCCCCCTTGCCCATACCCTCACTATTGCTTTTGCTTTTCCCTCTGATGGCAATATTTTTTCCCCTCTTTAACTGGAAAACTAGTACTTAACTTTAGTATGGATTTTAAATACCTGCTCCTTTTCACAGCCTCCCCCTGGCCCCTCCCTCCCAGTCCCCCTTGTCTGTCTTGCCTCAGAACTACATTCGTGGCACCTCTTGGCCCTTCCTTGGTTGAATCCTAGCTATTTGTTAACACATCTTCTCTCTGTGGCTACGCTGAAAATCTCTCAAGGACAGTGGCTCAGTCACACTCATCTTTGCACCCTAAGTACCTAGCTCAGGTCCTGGCCCATAGAGGCGGAAAAACAGAAGGACCAGCTTAAATTAAATAAAAATAGGTCTGTTTAAGGAAAACTTTGCTCCGAATTCCCAAGTGAAAAGCCCATAAATGTTTTCTTTTCTAAGCATATAGCCAGGGCCTCATTATAGATGAATGGTAAAGTGTCATTTTTACAAGCTGCTGCTATGAGCAAACCTCCACGCACGCCTGGATGCACATGTGTGTGCATGCACACACACAGAAGCTGGAAGGAGCTGGATGCTCTCTGGCAAGGTGCAGCAGGGCAGATAAGATCACCCTGCTGCAGAAGAAGGTAAGCCACGTGACCGTGTGGGTAACCCCAGGCATACATGATACCCTCAGCAAGGCCCAGCTTAAATCTAACCGCATCATCTTTTCATGAAGCAGACATGAAAAGGGACAACTGAAACAATTACAAAAAGGGTGGTTTAATGTCTTCTTGCCTTGATGGTATCAAAGCTATGGACTCAGGGGCTACTTGGGGAAACAATTCTCTGAGATAAGGAGATGAACTATCTGCTCACGAGAATGTGCAGGAAGCCAAGGTAACTGGGCAACACATAACGAAACAGTTTGTGGCTAATGAGCCATCTAAACCCAAGTGTCCCCAGGCGGCATCAGTTGTGTAAGCGAAGGAAACCGAACCCACCCTTGTTTCAAAGTGAAGACTTTGTGGGTGCCAATCTGTTTGGGTATATGTGTGCGTGTGTGTGCCCCAACTACACATCACGGCTAAAGCGAAATTCACAGCTCCTCCATCTGTGGCTGAGCTTGTATAAAACGAGAAGGTTGAAAAGGTGAGACTTGTTTTCATGTAGCAGCCTTGAAGTCCCTTTCTGGTGACTCCAACCTGCAGCGTGACTGTCTTGCTCAAGGACCAGGGCTGCATCAAGGCAAACGGGGACACCAGCATTGCTTGATCAGTATATCCCAGAAAGAGATGCAGAATTGCGGCATCCTGGTGTTCTGGGCCAGTTGGGTCTGAATTCTCTGAGCCACAGACGATGAAGGGCTGTCTCCCTCTGAAGTTCTGCTTATACCTGGTCCATGTTTTACCACAACAGGGTCTCTTCCAACAGTTTTTCGCCCTTGTAAGTCCCCCAAGTCATTTTCCCATGACTCCTTGAGGTCCCAGGACTGGAGGATGTGACAGCTGTGATGGGCTCCAGGGCATTTAGATTCCAAACTTTACGGGCTCAGTGGCTTGCTACTGAATCTCAGTTCTGCGTTAGTCAGTGCTCTTTGGCTTGGGGTAAGTTACTTAACCTAAATCTCTTTTCTCATCTACAAATTGGGAAAACCAGAACCCATCTCCTAGTTAATTGATGTAAAGTACATAGCACGATCGTGAGCACCAAGTTAGACCTCACTCTGTGGACCTATTACTATTATTGCCACCATCCTAATCCATTCAAACCCTTTTGATTTCCAGAAGAAGATCCTCAGGTCCAGAGATGTCCCAAGGAAATGGGTCTCGGGTGACCTAGCAGCTATTGCCCCTGCAAGGTGATGAGTAGTCCGAAGGTAGCAGCCTTCAAAAGTGGCTGAGTTAATGGCAGAACTCAGAGCTACTGATCCTCCAGGCCAGAACGTGACCCGTGGAACACATTGGTGCCATGGACCGCTATTTATTATTGCACAGTTATCTTTTTCTCCCACCAGGTCTTAAGCCCCTGGAAAGCAGGGACCCCTTGCTGCTTAAGTCCCTCCAGACTGTAGTACTTCACAGGTATTACATAAATATTTGTTAATCAGCTGATTGTGAAGATAGCTGCCGATTTTCAAGGCAACAGGTTTCTGTCATAGCCGCTCTTCTCCCGCACCATCATGTCCTTATGATTTTGGAAACCTCATCCAAGAAGGGCTTGTGCTAATGTGTTTTCACAGGGAAACATTCCACCCCTTTTTGGAATGCAGATATAGCTTGCTCCAGAT